AGCAGAGAGAAAGAATAAAAAATGAATAAAATATCAGTGAGCTGTGGGACATCATCAGATGGTCCAATACATGTGTAATTGGAGGGGAATAATCAGTAAAAAAAAAAATTTTTGAAGAAATAATGGCTGGAATTTTTCCAAATCAGGTGAAACCATATAAACTCATAGATCCAAGAAACTTAATGAACCCCAAATGGAATTATGAAGAAAAGCACACCAAGGCTCATCATGATCAAATTTGCTAATTCTGACCTGCATCACTGTTCTGTTTTCTTAGATTCTATATTTGTCTATTTGGCATCCATTCACCACAGGGCCAATTGGATTAACTGTATTTTTTAATTTTCTGCATTCCTGATGCTACAGTATTAGTGGTCTTGCTGACTAGGGAGAGACAGTCCCTCCCAGGCTAGCGAATTCTTGGAAATAGCCAAGGTCTGCTGGAGAGGCTTCCTTTCATATGCAAACTAACCAATCCCAAGACCATTACTCCAACCACTTGCTTTATCAAACTCTCACACACCAAGGCAGTATTTCCCATGCCCTAAATCAACCCAGGGCTGGGTATTAGACAACTAGGAACAGCCCTTATGCTCCAACAGTCACTGGCTAGTCCTAAACTGTCTACTCTGCCCTATCTTGCCTTTCCCACAGAAACACAATGACAGCCCTGGCCTAGGCTTCCTCCCACTCCTTTCTGCCTCCGAACCAACCCTGGTGCTTCCCCATGTGGCCCCGTGCGGCTGGTGCACCCCCTTCTCTCGAGAATTTTATGTAATAAAACTTCTTTCAATGGCATCAACCTCTCCACTCCAAGTTGTCACTCAGTCACCTCCATAAATTAGAATTCTATGGGTTCAAAAGGAGACAATCACCTCTTAAGGTCTCCCCTCCTCCAACCAAGCTTCTCCAAAACTGTGAGGTTACTACTCGTAAATTCAGTGCCTATCAACTCTCCACTGCTCAAAGACTTTCAATAGCTTCCCACTTTTTATCAAATAATGTTCTAATCACTTAAGTATACAATTCAGAGTTGCTCAGAACCTGGTCCCAAACTATTACCACATTTTCCCACAATTCCATTTATGCTTCCTTCACACCAGGCCACCGAGCTACTCTCAGTTCTCTGTCTACATGGTGCGTGGTTTCAAGCTTCTAGGCCTTTGCTGATGCTGATGAGCATTCTTCGAAAAGAGCCATTTAGAGTTGTCTGAAGATGGACGAATGACAGATTGTGTCCACCTAACTGGAAATGTATTTCGAGGCTGAACAACAAAATAGGCCATTCCATGTGATGAAGCAAAGAATTTTATTACAGGGCAACTTACAGAGTCATGGGCCAGGCAGATGGCAACCCCAAAGCACATACCAAGCTTCTCTCTGTGCTATCTCGAGGCTGAGCTCAGGTTTATACAAGCATCTTGTAAACAAGCTTAACATAACCAGCTCCAAATATTGATGCAGGTGACCAGGCCTGCTTATTGCCACACTGGTACTTAATGCTTCCTTCTTTAAAGTCAGCAGGTTGTGCCTATCTATGGTCTTAACTACCTTTCCCCTAGTCACTGTATAACTTCATGGCAAAGCTCTCACAAAGACATAACAAGTACTAAGGACTTAAGATGGAGTCAATTATGCTACAGTCACACAACAGTCATATTACTAAATCCCACCCTCCTTTCAGGTGTCAACTAAGGAAATGTCACCTCCTCTAGAATACCTTTCTGCTTTATGAACCACTTGTCATCTTACCCATCTCCCTTTCATGGGGCCCAGCATTTTCCACCATATCAGTACTCTCATGGGTCTTATCTTTCCCACTAGGTTATAAGCACCCTGAGGGCAGGGGCCACATCTTCTTATCACATCTACTTTTGGCATATAATTGGTGTTCTGGATGGTTTATTGATGGATGGATGAAAAGTAGCACATATTCCTTATTAAGGGTAGTGAAATGGTAATTTAAGATAACCCAATGTTTTCTGAAGATCTGGGAGTCTCCCCTGAGTTGTGATAAAGACCCCACCAGCATCGTGTGCAGATGTGGCAGTCTCGTGGGGCACCTGTAGTTTGAGCAGGGATGGGAAGAGGTACAGGCCAGAGGTTGGAGCTGCACATCACCACCATGCTGGTCCTTCTGGGGCACTGGGGCCTGACTGGCTATGCAGGAGGTAGGGAGTCTGGCCTCACCTCTCTCAGCAGTTGCACTGTACCCAGCTGGCTCTTGGAGAACAGGCAAAAATGGATGCTGTCCACACTCTCATCACCGCATGCCCCTACTTGGTCTGGCTTTGTCCCTCCTGTCTGGAAATAAAGCCTGGAGGAACCCTGTCCCAAGGCGTTAAGCAGTAGGAAAGAAGCGGCTAAGGGAGGCTCCTTAACTGGTACAACCCAGGTTTACTTCTCACAAAGAACCGGCCCACTGCCTCAAGGGCTAAATCTGATTGATTTTCCACTACCAAGAAAGTTCTCACTGGGATTCAGGCAATGGGTCTGCCTTTCTCATCACTGTAAGGCCCAGTGCTCCAGGTGGGTCAGTAGAAATTTTCTTAATTCTTCATTGTTGAAAGAAGCCCCTCCTGAAGCCCTGGCTTGGGAGGCCATAACGACCTGTGCAGTGTAGCCAGAGAAGCCTGAGCAGTCCCTATGTTCTGACCTGGTTCAATCCATCAGCACCCTCCCCCAGGCCCACAGTGGACTGTCAGGCAGGTGACAGGGCAGCAAGGCTCATACCAAAGGGATTAAGAGCACAGGCTCCCCACCTGTCAGCCTGGGCTACTCCAGCACCCCCATTAACCAACTATGTGGTCTTAGCTTAGTTTTTCCATCTGTAGAATTGGGATAATAAGTGCCTACCACGTGAGGAGGTTGCAAAGATAAAATGGCTTAGTGTTCAAAGATCTTAGTGCATGATATGGCATCCAGTGAGCACCATGGGTTATGTGATGATTGTCTTTGCTCCTAGGACTGCAGCCCAGTCTTTCCTAAAGAGAAATCTTCATGATTCCCACAACCCAGCTCAGCCTCCTGTCCCTACCATCCCAAGTGACTCCTCTCAATTCCATGGCTCTCAGCATGCCTCCTCCCACACTTCCCCTCCACATTCCCAGGCCCTGCCTCACCTTCCTCACCTCTGCTGGACCCCTGCTGCTCTATGTGACCCTAAAGCACCTGCTTAGTCCCTGCAGCCTAGTCTCCCCAGAGTAAATTCGGAGCATCATTTGCCTGACAATGGAGATTCCTTAGGCTTCAACATTAAGCCCTCTAGTTCAACCAAAAAGATTAGACTATCTAACAAGTCCAATTATTTCTTTTAAACATTAACTCCCCAAAGACATGGAAAATGTAGTAACATAGAGAATAAGCTTCAAGGTATTTCTTACATATATCTAACAAAACAATTTTAAAGCATTTACACAGACCAATCAGCCAGAATGTGGTAGTTACCACTTTCTGTTCCTTACCCACCCACGTGACCTCAGTCCGAGCACAGGCCCTGGGCTGCCAGGCCCGGCCCCAGCAGGGAGGCACAGGCCTCACCCTGCACAAGGACACCTCCATGTTTTCCAACATTTGCCACATCTTTAAATTCTGAATTGTCTATCTGCAAACTAAAAAGGGGAAAATCAATTTTCCTTCACAGAAGAAATGATTTTATTCCATTTCGGAAAAGTAAAGGATACAGACATTCATTCTTTGCCTGGCAAAAGTGATTTTCCCACAGGACTCTGAGCGCTCCTGGTGAAGTGAATGGTGGTGACAAGTCTTAGCAAACCCTGTGGCCCTCACCAGCACAGTGAGCACAAACATGGGGCTGAAAAAGCATTTATGTGATCAAAACACTTCCTGTAGCAAAGGTTCACAACATCATTTTATCCCCAAAATAATTTTGGCTTTTAAGAAAATACTGAATTTTGAAGATAATTTAAATATGCTAATTGAATCCTGGGCAACACATTTTTTTTCACACAATTAAGAGGAAAAAAGTTGGAAGCCTATCTCAAGTACTCTTCTGCCACCCTCCCCTCCTCTCACATGATGAGATCTTTTACATGTATCTCTAGGCCTAAGGTATCAAGTGTATCAACCATCCCCAAAGCTCAGCACTGTGCAGCATGTTCCCTGCCTCTCTGCAGAACTCTCAGAGGCTGAGCTGCCAGCCACTGCTGCCCCTCCCCTGCTGTGAGCCAGCAGACTGACTCCCAGGCTGCAGCAGGGTCCTGGCCCTGCCCCATCCACGGCACCATTGTTGCCTTGTCTCCAGATGCTTCTCTTTAGATGCTGGCCAGCAAGCACTCCTCCCAAGAATGCTGACCTGGAGGATCCAGGCAACCATTACTACGCAGATGCTCCTCACACGATCCTCACGTGAAACTGGGCTACAGCTCCACATGTCAGCTTAAGACATGCCTGTGGGTCAGACTAAGTAGCTGTAAAAATAGGAGCACAGCAGTCTGGATTTGGGTTTTTTCAATTCTAGAAGCAGCATTGCCTCCAAAAGGCTAACTGACGAGACAAATATGAAGTAGGGCTTGTTATAATTGTAATTTGTCACTCTAAAACAGGTGACGTACCAAGACTATTCCATAGCACCTTTGCTGGGGAGACAAATAACACTTCTTAGAGACTGTCCGCTCTCTACAGCAAGTGGGGACACTGTAACAGTCACCCAACCCAACCCCCCAGGACTCCCACATTGCAGGTCCCTGGCTGAGGCCATTCCTATCCCTCCGAGCACAACCAACTTGGAGGCCCACATAGTGCTACTGTGAAAACGCTCACAGCCAGTCCCCTAAATGCCTTTAAGAAACAGCTACCTGTCACATGTCAATGTCTCCCTTGCTGCACCTCTCTGGATATAGGAGGCTGAGGGATCTGGTGTTTTGGATCCTGCAGCCTTGGATTCTGCGAGTCCATTCCCCAGGGTCAGTGTGATCAAGAACACCATGGTGACTTGTGAAATGCATCCAGACGTCCCAAGAGACAAAATGCAGCACCCCTAGGATATGTCCTATAACAGCGAATGCCCATCAAGATTCAACTGCTGAAGCTGGGCTGATTCTTTAAAAACAACAGCTTAGTTCCCTGCCTGGGTGGTCTGACTGAACTGGCTGTTGGAAGAGGTGATGGTTGGCACTGGAATTGCTAATTTGGGGGCTTGCCATGGAACTGCACCCACTGCCATCGAGCCATTGGGGACTGCAGTTGTGTTCAAGCTATTAGGGGTCTCACCAGTAGCCTGTATTTTAAAATAGACCAAATAAAACACTGGCAAAACAATCCCAATGAGAAGCATGACAAAAACAGCATTCCACCACTGAATTCCACAGTCTGCACCATTGGTGGGTGTCTTCGGGGGAGCTGGGAGCAGCGGCTGGTCATAGGTCTCTACACAGTAACTTTCACTTAGAAAGATTTCTGACTGCACTGCACGCTCAATGTTCTGGTCAATCCCCTTAAAGAAATCTGTCAGCTGGCTGGCCTGGGCATCGGTGCCTGCTGCTGCTCTGTCTGGGTCTGGCAGTTCCACGAAGGTCACTCTGGTCTCTGAGGATGGGCTTGGGAGGGGTTTTAGTTCTTCGTGGGTCTCTGTTAGGATCCCATGGTTTTTCACTGGAATCTTAATAGATTTCAAAGCATATAAGTCTTGTTCTCTGATGAAGTTGTTGACTTTCTTGATATCTGCGACCTAGAGAAGCCATGAAGACAAATATCATAAAATATGTGAAGCTCCTTAAAACTAATATCCAAAAAGTGACTCTCAACCTTTCTGGGTGATGATCCAAGCCCACCGCACTTAAGAATCTGATGAAGACTGGAAAACTGCACCTACACAAATAATTACCTTAGCCTGAATAACTTTGTTTTTCAGCTTTCACTTGGCCTTAATGTATAGCTTAATCAAATTTTCCTATGGATTTATAAGTTTGAACAAATTAAGATCCGTTTTTTTAAAAAAATACTATTTAAAGTGTGACTGCAACAAAATGCTTTTAGGTGAAACAATCATGGAACTCAAATGAACGCTGTAGACATTTCTACTTCTTTTACCTTTTGAGGCAATAATGCCCTGTCTGCCTGACTCATTCTCATACCAGAACCCAATTAAGTAGCTGCCAGACATTAGCATTCACCAACACAAAGCCTCTGCCAGCTCTACAGACACACTCAGAATCTAGTTTACCTGTAATAATGTTTAGAGATGAGCCCTCAGGATTTTACCATGTTTTCTTTCCCAGAAGTACTGCAGAGCATAGAAACTTATTTTTTAGGTAAAAGTGACATATAGTTAATTCACTTTGAAGATTTCACAACACTTCTTATCATTAGAAACATGTCGAGAATTATGAATTAGGTTGAAAGTTACTGACAGATCTTCCATCCCAATATTAGGAGAAAGGAATGCTGCTGTGAGTTTTGTCAAGTAACATAAAGTTCATGACAAATTCGTCTTGTAATCAAACCTTAAAATTTAAGAAGTAGGAGGAAACGTAAGTCAAAAGGTAAACCCTCCCTCAAGCTAATGTTTGAAAACTTTCCAAAAACATCAGAAATACTCTGAAGTTTTAACTTGCAACATCCACTTAAAGGGTAAATACAACCAACAGACCTTTAGATACAGGCTCATTCAAATCAATCATGTCCATTATTTTAACTATTTAGCAACTGCTTTTATCATTTAATTGAATTGGTGTGGGGAACATTTTTAATTTACTGTATCCTGAAAGTAATGCATGAGATGCTTGAGATCTTTTTGCCTTTGCCCCTAATAAACTAACAGCAAATTTTCCTACTTCAAATAGGAAAACTGATTGGAAGCATTATATATTCTTTACAGATTTATTATTAGACATCACCATTCTAAGAAGCCTACTCTATTTATTCAGGTCTTTGTAGGACAGAATTCATTTTTCAATCCATTTTCTATAAACCATATGGTATGCCTACAGAAGCTGATTATAAGAGTCAAATATAAATGTCAGTACAATTTAAAAACTGCTACGTGTCCCTGGAGACTGGCTTGTTTATTTCCCTAGGAAAGACCATAACACCCCACACAATGTGTTTAACCATCTGGATCTCGTTAGATAAATACAGACACTACAAGGAGGAAAAGACTTTTTTATTAAGTAGCATACATAGCCTTAGAGAAGGCCATAGAAATTTGTATCACAGTGTTAGCAAAATGAAATAGTTTCCAATCTAGGAGAAAATGCAGCAATTCTTTAAATATTTTCCTACTTACTTTGCCATTGTTAATCACTCTGAATGCTAAAAACATAATTAAAGAGAAAAACAGGGTTATATAGATACACAGCATACAAGTTTACTACATCATGCAGTCTTAAAACAGATAAAGTAAAACGTTACCAATCAGATAAGCTACCACTAAGAAAAGTTCAGAAAAATAAAAGTAGTAAGAAAAGCAAGCATGCCAAAGAAATCTTGTATAAATCCTGCCTGGCATCTTTAGCCCCATTAGGTCTTAAATAAAATGTGCTCAAAAGTACAAAAAAAAAAAAAAAAAAGTCTTCAGAATTTCAAGGGGAAAGGACAAGGAAGAGCAGACATACAGAAGACCCCCATGGCTGGGGTCAGTATTTTTCAACTTTATGATGGTGCAAAAACAATACCCATTCAGTGGAAACGATACTTCAAGCACCCATACGGCCATTCAGTACAGTATTCAATAAATTACATGAGCTATTCAACACTTTATTACAAAATAGGCTTTGTGTTAGATTATTAGGCAGAACTACAGGCTAATGTAAGTGTTCTGAGCACATATAAGGCAAACTAGGCTAAGCTCTGCTGTTCAGTAGGTTAGTTGTATTAAATGTATTTCTCACTTACAGTATTTTCAACTTACGATGGGTTACTTATGATGGCTTTATCTGGACATAACCCCATCGTAAGTCAAGGAGCAACTGTACTCTGCAGAGAGGGAAATGCACCATCACCTGAGGTTCTTGACTAACCCTCACTCTTTATGAGCCAAGGTTCAGCACTAAAAGTACTTCCACCTGCCTTCAATCTCTGGCTAACAGGGGAGTCCTCTACTGGTACAACAGGCCTCTCCCGACCACCTATGGGGGTCAGGCAGGGCAGCAAGAACCCCCTTCCCTGCAGTGGGTTCCTCTGTATTCCTCTAAATGCAGAGGGGCAGAGCACCTGAGGAGTGTCTTACTTTGCAGCCATACTGAAGAGCCAGCTTGTTGAGGTTGTCCCCCTGGGCCAGCTCTCGCTGCAGCAGCACCACGTCGCCTGCTCCTGGCTGGGGAGGGTGGTGGGCACTGTTCTTCTGGCGCTTTTTGCCCCGGGGCCGCAGAAGCACACGGTGTGACTCTTCCTCAGAGGAGTCCCCTGAGTCCCCACTGCTATTCTTAAACATGTAGACGTGGCTGTTCGGAGTCCTACAGACAACAGCTGGGCCTTGGAAAGTCTTGGTTAGCACTTCCATCTGCCTCATTTTCTTAACTGAAAACCAAACCCAAGGGTTAATTCCATGTAAGGCATTTTCACCCCTCCCTGGTTTCATTAAAGAGAAGTGTCTTGTTGTTAGAGATTACTTCTTTCCCTGATCATTGCACATACTCAGCAAACACCATCAGCACAAAAAGAATGTGCTTATGCTGGCTGAGATGGAAAGAGATAGACAGAAAACACTTTTTTTTACTTCTTGTGCGGAAAATAAAAGAATCCCCTATCTTCTCCCTGAATTCCTCATCCAAGGCTGTATTTCCCTCAAACTCCTATATGTAAAGAAACAACTTCTATTTTTGGTCTCAGAGTAATAAAGAAGTGGTTGGGATTCTCGCAACGAGTACCTAATGACTATTCCCAGCTTCCCTGCACTGAGAATCTTCAACTCCGAACCTTTGTGCAAAAAGTTCTTATTCAATACTTTACACATTCTAAACATCTTTACTAAGGTCAATACCAAGGACACTCGCTTAGAAGAATCATGAGACTAAAACGCTCTTTTTTTTTTTTTGGTTTTTTTTTTTTTTGTGACCGGTAAGGGGATCGCAACCCTTAGTGTGGTGTCGCCCACACCGCGCTCAGCCAGTGAGCACACCGGCCATCCCTATATAGGATACGAACTCCCGGCGGGAGCGTCGCTGCGCTCCCAGCGCCGCACTCTCCCGAGTGAGCCACGCGTCGGCCCAAACGCTCTTATTTTGACACAGCTTTACTTACAGTGGGGAAGTGAGGGGAAAATGCCTGGCAAGCTCTGAAATCCGTCCTTCCTCACAGTTCACGTGCACTCACTGCGTCCCCATGCCTGGTTTTTATTTTCACCTTGAGCCAGGTGCCAAAGCCACCATACTCCCTTCTGCTCTCCAAATCGTTCGGATGAGATTCCAGAAATGAAATCTCGACGGGACAGACAGCCTTAAAAACGGTTAGCATGAGGCCCTTCTGGGGACAGCCGCGGCCCCAGCGCGACCCCCGCCCACCCGGAGGAGGAGGGAGGCGGCTAGCTGTCCTTGAGGGTCACCTGCCGGACTCGGCGGCGGCCCGAGGTCGGGGCCGGACCTTCGCGTCCGAGCTCAAGGCCTGCAAGGGGGCCCTGGCCGCCCTCAGGCCTGTCTCCCTCGTCAAAGGAGTTGGGTTCCTAAACAGGCGCCAACAAAAAAACGGGGAGCGGCCCGCACCTGAGTTAAACGGGTGGGGCCCCGACATTCCACAAAGGCACGATCTCCGACCTCTGACCTCCAACCCCCCAACCTCCGGCCAGCCCTCGACAATCGCGGTCGCCTCCCCTCCAGCAGCAGAAGGGCAGCCTAGGACACCGGGGAGTAGCGGCCCGCCCCCAAGCTGACAAGCGAGGCCAGGCTGCGACGAGGCTAGGAGCCCGCACGACCCCCGGTAAGGACCGCGGCCCCCTCCTACACACCCCGGTACCTCAGCGCCCAGGTTCCGCCGCGACCGGCCGCCGCCGCGCCTGCCGATTGGCTGCGAAAGTCAGGAGGGCCCTCCGGAGGGCGGGGCCAACGAGGTAGCCAATGAAGCCATCTGTGGGCGGGCACTGGAACGAGCCAATCTGTGCTGAGAGGTCAGCACAGAACCTGCAGGGGCCGGGGGCGGGATTTGGGGCGGGGAGGTCCGAGGCGGGGGCGGAGCTCCAACTCCCGAACCTTTCTCTCGCCCCGCCCACCCGCCTGCCCCGGCTGCGCCTGCGGCCCTGACTCCAGTTTTGCGTCTGCTCTAAAGTGCAGAACGCTGAAAGTCACCCTCCCAAGTTCACGGTCCTCTGCTGAGCCTCACCTTTCTATCTGGCCGAAGAGGCTTTGACACTGCCTTTGTGTAATGATCTGTAGCTCCGGGGCAGATCCCCTGAAGATGGGCCAAAACAACGACGTACACAGAAAAGATTGTTACAGGTGGTGCAATATCTTCGAAAGATACAAACCAGCTCATGTCTGTCAGCAAAAATTACCCAGACTTCATAAAGGCAAAAAGACAGCTGTGTGTCCTTTCAGTGTGACACCCCCACAGCTTGGTTAGCAGGCCCGTCTCAGAATTCAGTGATTGTTGAAGGCAGCGGTTCTCAAAGTGTGTCTGGGGACCCTGGGGATCCCTGAGGACTTTTCAGGGAGTCTGTGGACTCCAAACTATTTTCAAAGTAATGACATTATTTGCCTTTTCCACGTCATTCTCTCTTGATGTACAGTAATTTAGCTAACATGTATTGAGTCCTTACAGAATACCAGGTAACACAACACCTCTGTGAGGTAGGTACTATTATAATCCTCAGCTTGCAGATGGAAAAACTGACTGTGGGAGAAATTGCAAGTCGCCCTTCTAATATTGATTTTCATCTTTTCCCTTACAACTCCAATATTATTGGGGGCAGCAATGTGCCAAGCTGAGGCTACATATCTTAGCCTTCCTTGCAGTACGGTATGCCCTTATGAATAATTTCCAGACAATGAGATAGAAGAGGAAAATGTTGGGTGGGGTTTCTGAAAAAGCTCTTGAAAGGGAGACATCTGGAAAAGCTCTTTAAAATGCGTGTGTCCTTTTCACCCTTCCTCCTGCTGCCTGGAATGGAGATGTGATGGTTAGAGCACCTACATTCATCTTGGATCATGAGGCAACATTGGAGGTGGAATCCACGTGCTGAGGATGGCAGAGCAGAAGGACAAAAGGTGTGTAGAAGAGAAATAAATGTCCCCATTTAAGCTGTTGTTAAGATCTCTATTAGTAGCAGCTGAAGAAATTCATAACTTACTTAGGCACAGCGATTGTTACTTGCCCAAGACATCATAGCTAAGGAGTACTGTGTGGGAGACAGGATACAACCCCACACAACTCCACAGCCCCAGTCTTATGAAAGCTTTTGAGCAGTGCCAATTTTTGCTTTCCCTGATGCCCCAGCCCAGTGCAGGAGGCCTGCTGATGTGGTCAACAGGTCACTCAGAAACATACCCTCATTTTCTCCCCAGGCCCTTAGCTGGGCAGGCTGAGCCATCATTTCTCAGGCTTGGATGAAGCCAGAAGAGAGGTATTAGAGCAACATGGATTATTCACTGAAGCGTGCCAGGGTCACATCACCAAGGACATCCCCACTGCCTGGCCCCAAGAGAGTTGTGACCAAACATCCGCAAGCAAATGTGCCTGCTCAGATGCTCCTCAAACCCTTGCCAAACCTGGGCAGTCTGGTCCCCGAGTTCAGCCTTCTCCCTGGGATCCCTGGCAAGGGTGGAGAGAAATGAAAGGGAGCAGACACTGAGTGTGTGGCTCTCACTAAATGTCTCAAAACTCCAGTGCATAAACAGCATGGAATTGTATTGCCAAAGTTGTTAGAATTTTTCTTTTTTTTTTTCTTTCATCATTCTTTCTATACAATAGAGTCATTAGAATTTCTTAAGCCACAACTTTTCACTTTATACAGTGGAATTTAAGACCCAGAGACATGAAGGGACTTGCCCAAGGTTGTACAGCAGGGTCGCAGGAGCCATAAGGCACTATGGAAGATGAACTCTGCACTCACCAGCCATGCACCTTGGCCAAGTCTCATCAGCCTTCTGGGCCTGGGTTCCCCTCTTCTGCTATGTTGTCCCCTATATCTGGGATGGCCATACATCCCTTCTGCCTGGAGCAATTACAGTGTGTGCCTGTTGTCACAGCACAATTCTTAGTAACACCCCTTCCCTTCTTGTAGTGTCTGGACACACCTGCACCTCTCTGTGGGGCAGTTTGCTCATACACTGTATGCCCGGTACATGCTTCCCATGAGCCCGTAGCAGACATTGCCAGTTCATCACAGAGGCCCAGATGGCTGTCAGTATCCAAGACAGCCATGACCAATCAACTAATATTTTCGGAGGAGGTGAAAATGATTTGCTATCTCTGCTCTGTGCTGTTTGGTAGTCTCAATTCAGTTTCTTTACTCACGGTTCTCTAGTGACAGAGGAAAACCCATTGATTGGGGTGCAGCCTCCCATCCCTAAAATGAAAACAATGAAACCTCCTGACTTCTACTTGTGGTAAAGTCAGTTAGAAATGAAGACCTTGGAAAAAACATGATTATGGAGCTGAGAGCTCCAAAGATATTGCCAACTTCAGGAGTTCATGGGAGAGTGGTAGAAAAAAATATGTAAGAAATATATTACAGTTGGTACTGCAAAAACTATCAATAAAAGTTAAAGGGCATGTGATGAATTGGGTAAAAATATTTACCACCTTTGATATGTTGATCTCCTTAATATATAAAAGGTATTCAGATCTCAGTAAAAAAAAAAATAATACCCCATAGTAAATTTGCCAAATGATGCTAACAATTCACTAAAGAAATAGATGTAAAAAAAGTGTTAACTTGGGCCGGCCTGGTGGCGCACTGCTACAGTGCGCCGCCTGGGAGCGCGGCGGCACTCCCGCAGAGGGTTCAGATCCCACATACAGACCGGTTCCCGCTCACTGGCTGAGCGAGGTGCGGGTGCAACACCGAGGGTTGCGATCCTGTTGCCGGTCTGGTCTGGTACGGGCGCGACACTGAGGGTTGCGATCCGTTGCCGGACATGAAAAAAGACAAAAAGGAAAAAAAAAAAGTGTTAACTTTACAGATAGGCAAATAAATGGAAATTCAAACAGCTGCAAGATACTCTTTATAGCCTGAAAAAAGTCAACCATAAAATAATTACATGGAATGTGGTTGTGCTCAGGCCCTGCTTGTGAGAGTATAAATTGGGACATTTGTAGCATTGAGTAGCAATAACTTTTAAAATGTACATAGGCTGGCCAGTTAACCCAGTTGGATAGAGTGCAGTCTGATAACACCAAAGTTCATGGGTTTGGATCCCCATACCAGCCAGCTGCCAAAAAACGAAAAACATAACAGTGCATATTATTTGATTTTGATCTCCCACATTTAGGAGTTTACCAAGGAAGTAATTAAGACGGGTATAAAGGTTTAGCTACAAGACTGTTCTGAAAAGTGAGAAATGGGGGAGAGGGCCCAAAATGTCCAACAGGAAGGAATTAGGTTGAATTCATTTAGCTCATTTCTGAAATGGAATCAAGTATGTTCGTTTAAAGTAATCTTGTAGAGGTATAATTATTGACGTGGAAAGATGTTTATGAATAGGAAGTGCTGTTTTAAAAAATCTCTAGAAAACAAGGGCTGGCCCGTGGCTCACTTGGGAGAGTGTGGTGCTGATAACACCAAGGCCACGGGTTCAGATCCCTATATAGGGATGGCCAGTTAGCTCACTTCGGAGAGCGTGGTGCGGACAACACTAAGTCAGGGTTAAGATCCCCTTACCAGTCATCTTAAAAAAAAAAAAAAAAAAAAAAAAAAACTCTAGAAAACAAAGTAAGGGACAAAACTGCAGAGTGTCACCCCACAGACATCCAGAGGGTTGTAAAGCAGCACCTCACCATAATCCAACCATGCTGGCACCCTTATGTAGGACTTCCAGCCTCCAGAACTGTGAGAAACAAATGTCTGCTGTTTATAAGTCTGTGACACTTTGTTATAGCAGCCCAACTGACTAAGACACTGGAGGTGGTTTGTAGGGCTATTTTGGTGCCCCAGTCTGCTCTGATCTGGGAACAGGTTTGTCAAGCGAGTTTTAAGCCTGTTTGTCTGCAGCTTCAACTGTGTCAGACTCAGTTGTCCCAGAGCCAGGGTGTGGGGAAGTGCCTGCAGACAGGACCTGATGAGCCAGGCAAGCAGTAGCAGGCAGATGGGGCCACCACTCTTCACACCCATGCGAAATCCCACTGGGAAGTCCCAGCCCTGCCTGAGTGCCCTGGACTCCCCATGAAACATGTGTTCCCGCCATCCCAGGCCACTTCCTCCTGCCCCCGCCCCTTCCTGCTCAGAGCCTGGGGCTGTTCTGTCATTTCCACCTTGCTGGGGCGCTCAGTCTCC